TTTACATTAATATTTTATATTTGTTTATTCAAACATTTACGGGAATTAACCCCATTTGTTACATAACCCAGAATAAATATTGAAAGATAAAGATATAAATAATATAAACTTATATATAGAAATTCATAATAAATAAAAATATATTTACGAAATTAATGGAGATTTAAAAAAAAAAAAATGGACAATAAGTGGTAGCAATAAAAAAGATTAAAGAGAAAAAAAAAAGGAAAAAAGGAAAAACAAAGTTATACAATTATAGTGAGTTTAGAGAAAATTTAATGAAGGATATGGATTGGTTGAAAAGGATTACGGTCAAGATTTACGATCTTTGGTTGGTTTCTTTTCTTGGCAAACGTGATTTTCGCGTTAACGTTTAGAAACCGTAATAACTTCTTTGAACGAAAAAAAAAAAACAATATAATGTTGGTTTATTGTTAGTATTATAACAGACCCGTAGTACTTGTAGTAAGAAATTTAGTTATTGTTTGTTCCTTTTTGTAACTTATAGCTAAGAACGTGGGCATTTAATAGCGCGTTTTGTTCTTAAATTATCATGAAGAAAAAACTTAAAGTAATCTTTTAAACAATGGATAAGACAGAATGTTATTTATACAATCGGTTGACTATATATACTAAATAAAGTCATGGGGAATGATTAAATTATCGTATAATTTCATCGCAAGAGAAAACCATCGAACTTACATCAGCTATGTATATATCAATATGTATATGAGCATATGTGTATTAGTAATTTATATAAAATTACCAAGAGTAGTAATAAATTAAACATTGTAATCGTTTGATTATACCTTTTACGTATGGTTCTTTTATTGCGAAAAAGACATTGAAATATTTTTCATACGAGAGTTTTAGAGAAAATTACAATTTTTATTGCTGACTTTTTATCTTTCTTCTTTTCTTTTCCTTGTTTGTTTTTTCTGTTTTATTTCTTTTTTCGTACGATCGTTTACGTTAAGATTTGTACTCGTATAAGCATAACATTTCGGTACTACACTTTCGGTAGCCAAATTCAAAAATATGTTTGGATTTTAAAATTGAATAGGTATATGTAAAAATTTATTGTAAGAAAGTTTAAAGTATCTTGTATATCAAAAGAATATCAAGTAACAGCATTCCTCAGAAATGTACAAACTATTGTCATTAATTAATTATACTTTTGTTCACATATGTGAAAGATTAATCATAAAAATATTAACGTAAACGTTTAAACTTTCTTGTATATTAAAAGATTAACAAGTAAC